GCCCTCTCAAGGGGTGGGAGGTAGAGAGTTGTGAAATTCTTGCACACTGCCAAACACTAAGCCCTGCTAGCCCCCCTTACTTGCCTGACGGCCACTCTCTCCAGTCCACCCTGACTCTCTGCCGTACGCCACTCCTTCCTCCTTCTGCTCACCACTGAATAACTGAGATGTGTTTGAGGTAGGATGCTAGAGTCCAGCACCTTGCAGGGAACCGCTGACACGAGGAAGGTAACCAGAGTTCTAGATCATAACCGTGCTGACTGAGAAGGTGTTGCAGGGTTTGGACTGATACAGAATTTAAATAACTCTCTTCTCTATGAGCAATTAAAATGATACATTTCATGAGCCCTATGGCATTTCAGATTGCATGATTGCTCTGTGTGTGAGTGTGTGTTTCTGCCTGTCCGTCCGTCTGTCTGCTCGTACGTGCATTCACACGCTTGTGCATGTGAAAGGAGAGAATGGGCTGTCTCCCAGGATGTGCAGCGAGCGCTTTATTAGAGCGGTAGTACCAGTAAATCAGAGCTCAGCTCTTCCTGGAACTGCTGCAACCTTTCCCACTGAGCACTATTACTGAACAATCATAGGCTAGCCATGATAATTAGCAGAGTATCTATCCTTCCAACCCTCCTGTCGCCCCCCCACCTCCTCCTCCACCATCTCCCCTCTCTCCTGTCTGTCTCTCCATCCTCCTCCTCCCCTCCTCCTCCTCCTCTCAGAACTGTCTGGTGTGTGAATGGGTGAGGCGAGGCGCCCACCAGACATCACTTTGTGGACATCACTTTGAGGACATCTCACATTACCTGCCGTAATTTTTGCCTTGACGGTAGCCAGAGTGATAATTTCGACACATTTGTCTGCCCGCACAAAAAGACCACCAAGAAAATACCAAGCATTTCTAAAGTAGTGAAAATAATAAGAATGTGCAAAGTTTTAAAAAAACTCCCATAAGACACCACAAACTGCCATCCTGTGAAACTAGGACGCACTTGGCCCGGGTCTAAATCAGGGGGACTTGATCTCCTGCATTAGTCCAAAATATACTTCAGCTTTATTTGATTGCAAAAGTGCAATATTTTTGGAATGCAGCTATAACCTATTGGTTTTGTGGTTGTTCTCTAACTACATCCTACTGTATAGTCCAAAAGAGGACTGGAGTCAGTCCTGTAGTTTTGGAGGGGGAGAAGTCCTCATGGCTTGCATTCCTGAGTCTGAGAACCCAGCGGTTCTGCTGAGTAGGATCATCAGTGAAACACCTTAATGCCTTTTCATGTAACCACTAATACCTTCATTTACATTACAGCCTCTTTTTCCTCTCTTATGTTTCATTGTGATTATTTGCTCTCTGCAGAGTGTCGACGTTTTCTCTCCTCAGTCTTCACTTATTCTTTTGGATTGCACTGAGGGGTAAAATAAGAGCAGTAACTCTATCCAAGGTACAGACGCATTGTGTTCGTTAATGGGCAGAATATACGATCAAAAGCCCCGTTCTTAGAGGTAAGAAACAGACACTGGATGTGACTGGGCGTGGAAGGCAGAGAGGGAGAGGTGAAAATTTTTTACAGTTGTGCGTGCTCAATAGAGCGGGACCAGCACAGAGGAAGAGATGTCAGGACTTTCTTGGTTAAAGATTCCCCATCTGATAGTGACGGCACTTTCTCCCTGTCTTTCCATGGCCAAGCGGCATCTGGAGTGGATTTTGTGCTAGCAGACACCGAGGAACATGATTACATTCGGCTAACTGCGCTCTAAACTGATTATGCATGTGCCAAGCTAATGGACTACATTTGCAAGAGGAAAAATAACATCCAATCAATCTCAATTACCACCGATTGCACCGGCCCCCGAGACAAGGAAGGTAGCCAGCTAACCCCCCCATGCTCCTCCCCTTTCCCCCAGCCCTTGACTGGAAGCTGAGGCCTGTGGCTGGGCCTGGTAAGGCACCACCCATTCTGTCTGGACAGAGCCGCCGGGGCCTGACGCTGGATTAGTCTCAACCCTCCACACTAACACACAGCCGAGCCCTGAGGCCTACTGCTGCTGGTCTAAGTGCTATGTGTGATATGCACATACAGTACTACGTAAATGGCTAACTATACTATAGGTATGTTCAGGACAAAGTCAATCCCGGGGCAGCTATGTATTCTTAAGAACTCACCACACCAACCAACAGTGGGTTATCTGCGCTGCAGCAGAAGCCATCTGTTTGTGTTTAGGACTGACCATTCCAGGAGCAGATGGGTGACCATCATGCTATCATCAGAGCCAGTGAAATCCCAAAGTTCCATGGGAAAAAGAGAAGGTGAAAGTTAGCCTGAGAGCACAGGGGACTGCTGGCAGTGAACACAGCGCTCAGAATGGGTGTCTCTCAACTGAGAACACAGTACACAGGGGAAGACAGCATCGCCCCCCCCACTGTGTGGTGGTCCAGTGGTCAGGATGACTTGCTGGATCGTTCTGTGGTCTTTTGGAACATTCCAATACATGGGGTGGTGGGGGTGATATTTTTAGAAAGCCCTAATATGGGCCGCATACCACAGACTCTCAAATTATCCCATCCAGCTTAGCCCTCAGTTTAAACCTTCCTTTTTAATTCCAGTAATTACAGGCTCCAATTTATATGGAGCTGTGCACACAAAGGGCCTGTTTAATGCAAACCAGTTTGATTTGGGTGAAGTGTCCCAAGCATCTCCCACATCGTACAGCCTGTTTATGCTGACTTGATGATTTATTTTCTCCCCAAAAAGGTTAAAAATGGTGCTATTTGCATCAGATTTCTTTGGGGAGGAATAAATGAATGGTGATTTTCCTTTTTTCGTCCATGCATAATATACCAAGTGGGGTTTACAGGCTTGTGGGGCACTGTGGGTTTCTGCCTGTCAGTGTGTCTACCAGGACAGTAAATCCAGCGCAGTACGAAAACTGTGACATTGTCAAGTGGGAAGCCGGTGCAGCCGAGACGCCTCACAACCATGTACTTGTTGTCCGCTAATCACTCTGGTGAGTCATAAAATATTGTAATAATTCTTGTCGACTTGTGAACATCTATGTTTTTGAGTAGTGTCTGGGATGAGAAGAGCTTATAAGGACCACAGTGTTCTCTGGTTGAGAGAGCAGGTAATTTCTGGACAAATGCGCACACTCTTAGTCAGAAGATCAATTGGTTTTAAGAAATATGGAGCCATCTTAAGAGGCTTAAGTCATAAAAAATGATCATGCCTGGATGTGTTGTACATATTTAATCCCCCACAGCCTGAACAGCAGTGTGACATATGTCTCGTCTCTCCTAAAAACTCGCAAGCAAAAAGATACAGGGGAGGAAAAACACAGTTCTCTCTTTTGCCGTTTGGGCTCACACCAGAGTGTGAAAGCACAAAGATAATGTAATATAAATTGGACCTTATCCTGCAAGACAAAACAAGTTTCGCTCTAAAAGGTGTGAAAAAGAGAGAGAAAATGTCAAAGCCTGTCTATTTTGGTCTAATGTGAGAGAGTCGTTAGAATTTGGGCCAGAAAGTCGAGCAGCGAAGGCCAAGAAAGGAGTCGGAAATATTGGAAAAGACACACATTGACTTCACAAAGTCAAAGATTATGTTGCATATTCACATTTGTACATGTCTATAAATACTCGGCGCATCTGAAAATGTTCCTGCGCACCTCTCAGTTGTCCGGTGCAAACCATAGACTCACAAACCAAACACCTCCTGTGTCTCTTGGACCTTTCTGACAGCTGCAGTAGGAGCCCTGCATCACACCTGCACCCTTCACAAAAAACTGAAAATTGATTTCTTGATTTTACTGTTATTTTGACACAAAGGCCTCCGTGGACAGGAATCTCGTATGTCACGGCCGGTGGCTCTGAGGAACCGTTCACATTGCTGGATGATTTACAAATAGATTAAATTGACCACTTCACCTTAGTTTTTAAAGTGATTAAAACACCGGGCTTGAAGCAGCACATTTTTCACATTTCGCCTTTTGATGCCTCTCCTGCAAAAGACACTAATACAAAAGTGTCAAGCAAAAGAAATATTCAAATTCAAAGCGTCACACACTGAATACTGGTGTGGACTTATTATAAATAAAAGCACCATCGACTACAAAGTGCACAATGCAGTGTTATATGTTAGTGTGCAAAGTGTATGATTACAGCAAGTATGTGTTGTCAGTGTACGTATGTGTTTTGCAGCGTGTGTGCATGTGCAACTATGCCAGTTTGGGTTAAGCGCAGAGTGGCCGAAGCCGCAGACACACAGGATAGGTACCTAAGTGGAATCAGGCCTGTTAGATTTATGGCCATTTGTTCGGAGAGTGTTCATCCACTGGCTATTATGGAATGATTAGAGGAGAAGGTGAAGCTCCAAGTCCAGCAAAAATCAATACGGCTGTCGAGAACAATTCAGCCTTTCCCGCTCCGAGGAGTATTAGCACCAAACCTCTGTCTCCTAACACTTCTTCATTCGTCTCCAAGTGATTCAGCCCTAAGCCTCCAAACCGGCTTCGCCTGCCATGTTCTTCACATGGCAGCAGTGTGGCTCCGCTCCTGTATGACTACTGGGAAGGCATCGATACGACAACAAAGCCATCATTCATGCCTTGGGAGAGCAGCCACTGTAGTGGTGGTGTGGGCAGCACAAGAGCGTTTACTGTGTCTTGTGGAAGAGTATCAAGTTAGCAGGGATTAAAGATATGTTCGGGCATTTTTGCCAAACTCATCTAAGTTACAAGGTTCCTCATCAGAGACCATAAATGCTGCCAAATACGACCCAGACCTACTGCTTCTCCTGGTCAGATTGTAACACCTCAAATAGCGCAGAAAAACAGACAGCATCAGTCAGATTTTTGGTTGTAAATGCATCTGCTACTGACACCCTGCTCATGTAACACGCTCGCTCTTCCCCCCCCAGTGGTATGAACTCATTAATGATATGAAAACTGTGATACACTGTCAAGATAAGACTGAGCAGTGGATGTGATAACGGAGCTGGAGCACCACTAACCTTGTACAGTTTGAGGCTAGCCTCATGGCGGGAATTGACAGTGTGCATCCTCAGCTTCTCCAGGCTGTTGGTGTAGTAGTCACAGGCATTGCACTTCAGGTGCACTGGATTGCCGATGGCCACACATTTCAGGCGCCACTCGTTGCCTTTGCCCCCTTCTTTGATGTGGGCCACAAGCTGGTACTTTTGCACGTGCTTGTCTGTTTTGCAGTGCAGCTGGAAGTTGGCCTTGAGCTGAGTGGTGTAGTGGCACAACTTGCACTGATGAGAGTCCCCCACCACAGCGCGCCACTCCTCCTCTGGTAGGCTGCGTTCAGCTCCCATATGCATGCCAAGCACATCCAGGTTGTCAGTGGTGAAGCGGTTGCACACGGCGCACTGAAAGAGCTTGAGGGAGGGATCTGTGGTTTGTGATAGACTCTCTCCCAGGGTCATAAGTTCTTCGGACACCAACTGCCCGCCGCCCAGCCGCACGTCCATAGGGATTTCCCCACCTACTGGAGTGTGGGGAGCACAAAAGCAGACAAAAAGAAAGAGGAAAAGGTAGACAAAGGTATTTAGATTGCTGCATAAACATATGTATCATTAGTTTAGACATATTCAAAGCTTACAGGCTAAGTCACAGTTCAGTTTTCAAAGATTACATTGCAATTTAGGTGGTAACAAAGGTTTACAGTTGTGCCTAATACCCTGAATAACATCCTAAGTAAAGGTGCTATACTTAAAAAAACAAACAAACAAACCCTGCTGTATTCTGCTGGTATGATATTGTGTGGAAGATAATTCTCATGTTTGTATTTATAGGTCTACAGCCGTCCTCACTCTGAGCTGGGAAAGAACCAAGCCTGGACTTTTCCCCCGGGACGAAAACCTCTGCCAGAGAATGAATGTACACATCTGCCTGTTTGGGCTGGTGCACTTTCATGCCCTGTCCGTAAATCAACTCCAGAGGCCATGGGCTCCACAGAAAAAGCACGTTATTTTATAATTACCGAAGAACTTAGGAGTTCCCAACCACACATTACTGTAAATCAAACCCATTGCCCTTGTTCACAGAATAATATTTTTAAAAAATTCACTTCTCTGCCTGGATTCTTCTCCTTCTTTCTTTCCAGATTGCCTCTAAATCAATACGGACACCTAACAGATTAAGTCTGCTTGGTACTGAGTATAAACGAGGGAGAGGGGAAAAAAAACACAGCAAGCACATATCCTATGACACCGACCATATAACTGATGTCTATACAGTCTGGGAAGGCTGACTTTAAAAATGAATGCTAAAAAAATGAGGTAAGAGCCGGCGTTTTTGCCTTTACTTGCTGATCTTTAATCTTTCACTGCCTAGGACTGAGCATGCAGGCTTGACCCCACCTGGCTTTACACTAAATTAATTCCAGCAGCTCTTTTTTATTTATTGCTGCAGTATGCAGCCTGTTCTTGGACTTTTCTCCATTACCTGAGTTTTTATAGCTCGGAGAGGGAGACCTTTAAGAAGCCCCCTGAAATCACTCACAGACCCAGCTCCCCCCAGTCATGGCTGCTTATGCTCACTCATATAAAAACACATATGCCCACTCACTAGTCCAGTCATGTCTTTTTGTGCACCTTACATCTCCCATTCTACCTGGCTCTCATGTTCAGATGCAGATCCAGTGATTCACTTTGAACTGAATCCTGCTCATCATTAAATTGTGGTTGTAGATTTTAAGAGCAGGATTCTGATTTGGAGCATTGCACTTGCACTTAATATTGTAAAGGCATATGTGTCAATCCATCCACACTTACACGACGATAGATTGTTTGTATGTATGAGCGGATTCAGAATGCCTGACTCTTTACACATGACCATTTCTGCTTGTTTTCTAATGCACTGCTTCACGGTGTTTGGTAAACAACAAATTCCAGCACAAATACCTAAAAGTCACCCCCCTGTGCTCTCTTTAGCGCTGCTGCTCTCCATCTCATGTCGCCCTTTCATTACAGTAGCTGAGTCCGAGGATTACCAAGAGGCTGAGATCATGTGAGGTCAACATTTGTCACATATCTCTTCAGCAGTACACTCAAAAGTCCAAAAAATCACAGTGAGGCCAAAAAAAAAAGGACACCTCTCACTGTTGTTGTTTGGTAGATTCTGGGAGGAGGAGGTTTATGGATTCTTATGCATGATGCTGTACAGTTAATATCAGAGTGTTTGTGTATGATGGCTTTAACAGTTCCTTAAAGTGCGACCATGGATGACATCGCTGCAGTTTATGGGGCCAGACTGTGTAATCATTGCCTTCCTTGTAATATGCTTATTACAACTCACCTCAGACGAAAACGAACCAGATGGCAGAAGAGGGAAAAAGAATTAGTCACAGCAATCAATTCACGTTTGTGTCTTCGAACTGGTGACAGTCGGAGACAAGTCTGTACAAACTGTGTGGTTGTAGCTGGTCTTCCAAACACTTTGCTATGCTGCTGAATTACCCTCGCTGAGCCCTCTAACCTCCCATCTTTGACCAAGATAAAATTTATAGCTGCAATTACTATGTTGGAAAAAAAAACGGAGAACTTCGGCGGTGCAGTTCAGCTACAGTTTGGGAATAATGACAAAAAGGCCGGCTGCCAGTGTGAATGACAAGGAGTGGAGAACACTGAAATCTGGCCCTCTAATTTATCTTTCATTGGTATCACAAAGTGAACTTCAAAATTCATCTCCGTTACAATAATGCAGTATCATTTAGATGTCCTGTTAAAGACTGTATAAAAAGAAAAATAAACTATCGCTGGCTTTTTGTATGCCACACTTGTAGCTTCAAAATGTGTAAATGAAATTATTGGCAGACTGGCCTTGTGCACTGGAAGGTTTTACTATTGATGATATAGGCATAGCTTAGGGCATGAGAAAGAAAAGCAGCTGCCAAAACTAACGGCGTATATATAGCAGTGGAACAGGAATATATATGAGGATATTCCTGCACACAATTTTATGTGTTGCTAATGTGATAAAGGGTTACATTAATATTCTGTATTCCTGCAAAACTGATGAATTAGTATTCAAGATGAAAAATGATAGATATCGCTCTGACTTTACTTTCGTGAGCGACTACGGTTCGGTCTGAGAGCAAGAGAGGCAAAAACGGGGCTCACCAAGTGCAGGGGCCAGGGCGGCCATGTTGGGATCCAGGTGAAAGCTCCCCATCAAGAACTGGGCCTCAGCTCCAGCTGGGTCAATCTTTAGGCCTGGTGGAAGGCTCATGTTCTGCGTCAGGTAGTATTGGTAGAGCTCAGCCTCGGACGGTGAAGGCATGGCCCCCAAGCCAAGTCGTCCGTGCTGCATCTGGGTCACGTTCTGCTGGAGCAGCATCATGTTGTGCATGTGCTTCTCGCTGGTCATGTGGATACGCAGGTTCCGCGCCACATTGGTCTCGTAGTCACACACCTCACACCGCCAAGTAGGTTTGCTCTTCGGCTTGGTTGGGGAGGGCGCCCCACACGGTCCGGACATGTGGGTGGAGGACTGTGTGGGGTGATGGTGGGGAGGGTGGTGGCTACTGGCCTGGGTGACTGAGGGGACAGCCACCACTCCTCCAGGGGTATGTCCAAACACCTGCTCCTGCGCAGAGCCAATGGTGCCTCCGTTCTGCAGTGTCTGCATGTTGTTCAGGTGCTTGTCTGACTGCATGTGGATGCTTAGGTTGCCCTTTGTGGTGGTGGAGTAGTTACACACCTAGGAATCACACAACAGTTTCTCTTGAACTTCATAATAAAGTACTACATGTGTTCATTCTAATTCATCAGTTTACATCTTATATACGCCAAAATCAACAGAACAAAAACATTTTTTATTGCAACCTTTAAATAATGGAAACTCGGTACATATTTTTGCTACATACCTCACACCGGAAGGGCTTGTATCCACAGGTATAGCTTTCCCCGCGAGCTAGGCGAGGGTGACTCTGACCACTGCTGCAATAGACACAGGAGCCTCCAGAGTCTGGGTGCTTCTCTTTCATGTGGGCCTCCAACGTCTGCTGGTACTTGTAATGCCAGTTGCATTTGGGACACTTAAGTGTCTTGCATGAGTTGCGTGAATGCATCATGGTCATGTGCCCACCCAAGGAGCGTGAGGAACCCAGAACGGTGTCACATTTGGGGCATTCAACCCCACTTCCTCCGCCGCCACCAGGCCCATGGTTCTGTGAACACTCACCAATTCCCGTTATGTCACAGGAGCCCCCTGGGAGGGCGAGGGAGTGGCCATGAGATGTAGGGTGGAGGTGATGATGATGGTGGTGGTGCATGTGGTGATGATGCAGAAGGGCTCCATTTTCCTCCTCTCCCTCTGCCGGGCAATCATTTGGTTCTGGAGCTGTGGCACTATCTCGATTGGCACTTTCATCAGCAGCAGCATTGGAGGACAGAGGCGAGGAGGAAGTGCCAGCAGTGTCATCCTCGCTCCTTCTGACGGCAGCTGCCGCCATTGCCATGGGAACTGTGGGTCCCTGGCAGTTAAAGCTCAGAGGGAGCTCTGAGGTCCTCCCCCCACCGTCTGCAGCTGAACCCTCTTCCTTGACAGAGGAGGAAATGGAAGCAAGGGCTTTGCTGTTGAGTGTGGAACTGACTGCAGAGGTGCAGGCAGAAGGCTGGAGAGTGCTACTAGGCATTAATAAAGGAGATTTGGAAATGCTTTGGTTTGAGACAGCTGGTTCCCCCGCTTCACCCCCGCCGCTGCTACTGTTACCACCACAGGCCACTGCAGTGCTTTCTGCCTCCACCTCGTCTTCTTCCTCCCCTAATAACAGTTCGTCCTCTTCTTCAGAGCCCCCCATCTGGCTGGATAGGTGCGTCTTGCTTTCATGTCCCTCAGTGTTCCCATCCACTCCCTTACATGCCAACTCTTTCCCAGTAGGCTCCTCTGTTCTCCCTCCCTGTTTGGGCAGGGTACTGGAGTCTTTGGCAGAGCCTGGGGATGAGGTAAGAGTGGATGCTTTGGGAATGCTCAGCCCTCCAAGAGAGAGGACTGAGCCCAGTGGGGTTTGTTGCTGCTGCTGCTGTTGCTGGAGGCCAGAGTCAGAGTCTTTGTTCAGGAGGGTCTCACTGCCCCTGCTGCTGCTTCCAGGCTCCAGATGGACACCACTAAATGTGCCATAGAAGCTCTGTCCAGAGTTAATGGGGAGCAGGGTAGGTGGCAAAGGAGTGCTCTTATTTTTTGGTTCCAGGAAACTAATGAGGGGCTCTTTGTCCTTCCCAATGCCCTGGATGATGGCAGATGCATGCTTGTCCCCCAGCAGCCGCCGCTCGTCCTCACACAGTGTCATGCGGTGATCATGGACGGCATGAGTGGCAAAGGAACGGGCATAGCCAAAGGACAGCTTGCAGAGAAAACACATGAGAATGGGCTTGCCCTTGCCATATAGGGCAAGCCCATCAAATTTGGAGAAATCCACGTTGTTGGGAACATCTTTGGATACACAGGACTTCTTGGCAGACCCATCGCTGTTCAGGTAATCCTTGTTGCTTTTGTGCCGCACATCGAAGACACGGAAACTGTGCAGGACAGGGCTGAGGCCTGTCATTGTTGAGGTATTGGGAAAACCTTGGTCTGAATTTCCGAACCACTTCCCAAAGGACGAGGCTATGTGGAACGTGTTGATGATCTGTGGATAGACCGAGGACGAAGTCCCGGCAGGTTCCCCCGGTTTCCCCTCACTTGTGAGAGAGTTTGTGGGAAGCAGGCCGGGTACCATGCCTCCACTACTTTGGATCAACTGACTGAGGCTCTCCACGATGTAGGCTGAGCCGTCTGGCTGGTAGACTATCTCTCCAGCCAGGTTCTCCACATCACTGCTCTCCTCTTCCTCTTCATCCTCTCCTTCCTCACTCCCACTCTCAGGTGGTCCCTGCTGTTGTGTGGGTTGATGTCGCAGAAGAGTGGGCATGCCCCCTCCCCCTGAAGCTATTGGCACCCCGGGGAAGGGTTGAAGACTTGGGAAACAGCTGTCAATCTCCATTTCATCTAAGTCCTCAGATTCTTCCTCTTCTCCACAGCTCACTCCCTCTTGCTCTTCCTCCTCAGGACCCTCTCCTCTGGGATGCAGCTGGCCTGTGGCAGAGCTATCACGGTGGGCCTGGGGTGACGTCTGTTTTGGCTGCTGCTGCTGGGGCTGTAGTTCTCTCACCCCGTCATGAGGTGCAATGGAGTTTTGGGGTTGAGAAGGGTAGGGAGCAGAGAGAGACAGGGGGTCCAGGGAAGGGGCCTGGTTGGTGCAAGTGACCTGTGAGCTAGAGTGATCGTTCCAGGGCTGTGGTGGTTGCTGCTGCTGGGAGGAGCCGAGCCCATCGTCTGTCCCAGAAACCACGGGAGACTCACAGCTGTCCATGCTGATGCCTACATGAGGCGTTCATCGCATCCAGGCCTGCAGAGACACAGAGTGGGGGAAACGGAGGTTATTGTTGTACCTGGGTTGGTTAATGTAAGTGCATATACGCAAACACACACAATTCCTCGTTTACCGCGTCAATGTTGGAAACAAATGTCTATATCTTCCAAGTTATTACTATGCTTATTAAGGCCATATCAGATGTCAGAAATAGAAAATATGAAAAGAACACCATGTATAGGAAGCTTGAAAGAAGAAAATCAAATGTATGGCGCACTGGGTGAGAGACAAAAGTCTGAGATATAATTGGAAAAATGACACCGTGCTCATTACGCTAGATTAGGCACTTAAACACAATACCTGAGACAAGCACTAATAAGCCGTCCATGATTCATCTTCCTGCCATATCACAAAGGTACCATCTTTTATCTTCACCTTCCAAACAACACCCCTAATCTTATATTCCGCAAATCCTACATCCGTTTTTAATTAACTTGCAGTCAGAAAAAAGGAGCAACAGACTAACTTAATGGATCAAATAGATTCCTTGTGAGATAATTAGACACTGAGAAGCCACCCATCAGCACATCGTACATTTACATAACTGGAAGGAAAAAGGAAAAGCTGCGTCTAAAAAAAGCAATTCCTAACAGTATCGCTGATATCACTCCATCCGCAGTTGTGTACATATAAGAAGAATATAATGCATGTGCATTATTGAGATAGATACGTCTGAACTCTGACACGAGCAATAAAAGGCACTATTTTCTATGAGCCCAAAATACATAAGCTGGGTTGGGACTCCACTGCAGCTGTGTTTAGATCTTGCATCCAATAACCTCTATGCTTAGCCTGGTTTCAAACACTCCAGCCATCCTCCGCCTCTGAAATAATAAATGGGAGCTGAGCTTTCGGGAGCTGGCCATGCCCCGAGCATCTGAGAGGCCCAACACAGGCTGCAATTTAGAGCGCAGAAGAGATAAAATGATAGCACAAGATACTGCTGAGCTAATAATTTTATTAAAGGGATGCAGCCAACATTGATTAAAGGGGGCAATCGGGCTGAAACCAATAACTCTGGGCTGCCCTTTAACCTACCAGTACTGAATATTACATGAGCAAAGTTTCCCGGCACCAAGCTCACTGCCATGTCCCGGTTGATTAGCACATTCACTGCCTGCACTTGATTTATTTACTTATTTACTTAGGGATGCAAATTTCAGCTGTGATCAGAATGGAGTCTACCCCCACACCCTAACATATTAACCACTGAGGGAGAGGAGAGATTGATAATGTCTGTCTGCCTCTTCATGAATGTCTGATGAAGCTTGCCTCCCACACAACATACCTGAGACCTCTCCAACCTATATGCACCTCAAACGACAAAAATAATGGACTCACATTTGCTTTTGTATTTGGGCTTTAGAGTGAACAATAACAGAAGCAAGAGAGCAAACTGTGGGTAAAATAACAATAAAGACAGAAACACAATAACAACAAAGCAAATGGCTTTGATTTAAAAAATGCAAAACAGGACTGCAAATGCATTGCAGATGTTATTGTCATAAATACACACATATTTCTGGTATATGGTCCACCTGATTGTTTTGTTTACACGCTACAGAAGCTAACCTCAACGACCCTTTAGTTACTTTGCATATAAAATGAAAGATATTAGACTGGCTGGCTTATTAACAAGATTGCTTTATACAGCCGGACATGATTTAGAGATGGCTGCCATATTGAGTGAGGGGATACTAGCCCTACTGGTCTGTATTTATTATCTGCTCCATTAATAAGAGGCTATGAGCTCAACAGCCATTTCACACAAATGGACTGAGGGCAGTGAGAGTAATGCAAGAAAAAAATATGCCACATGTCAAACAGACAGTGATTCTTCAAACTAAAAGCAAGTAGATAAACTGCACAAAATGGAAAAAAGAAAAAAAAAAAAAGAAGCAGGAAATGTGACTTGTCTAAAAGCACTGCCTCATAGGAAAACATCCCCATGTGTCCTGTCTGAACATGGAGTGTTTCACACTTTGTTCCTGTAATCTCTCAGCCCCTCCTCCAGATTCCACTGCCTGTCTCGACCAAGCCTGGGAACACTGGGCCCACATGCTCAACTAGTAGTCAAGGTTGCTAGTTAACAATGACCTCTAAAGTTCTCGACTGTCCTCTTTGCCGTGATGAGTCTGAATAAGGCGAGTACAGTGTACTGTACTGAGGGTATGTACCCATCAATTCCCATTACTGCACTAAGATACCTCTAGCAATTAGCAGTAGACAGGATAACACGATGACTCTTGATCAGTGCTGGAGCTCTGAGCCAGTTTGGTGTGTCCACTGCTTACAGAAAACAGGATTGCCCTTTAAAATCAAGATGGTGTAATTCAATAACCTGCAGTGGTTACTGATGAGCAATGGGATTGTCTGGAGTCGGAAAGTCGCAGATGGGCCAACTGATATAACGCTGTTTGTCTCTTGGAGGTTTGCCTGGCTCAGTGACACCTGTTTAAAGCAGGAAAAGCTTTAATCTCTGGGAGGCACTAAACAAGTCCGGGAGACAGACAAAGAGACGCGGTCGAAGTAGAGGGGAAGTGGAGGAGGCCGGTGTCTCTGTGTGCCGACTGTGTTAATAACCACAAATCAAAATGATGGAGCAGCCTGCTAAAGGTGACTACTACTGAGTGTTATTATGCACGGTTATATACTGTAATGTGTCGAAAAGAAAATTTTCTTTTGCATACTGGCACTACAACAAGTGATTCTGCCATGGCCTCTGCCCTTGTGTTGCATTGTAATTCTGAATGTGGGCCCACTGAGTTGACAATAAGCAGGCTGTGTGCAGCCAAAACAAGCCTTAGCTGACAATAAGAGATAATCACAGGGAAGAAAGGGCTGGATTCCTGAGCTGATCTGAGGGAGAGCAAGCCGATGCACAGATCCTGACTGTAGGACTCACCCTCTGCTGCCACCTGCCTTCAAAGACTTTTTGCCAGGGTCTCCTTGCCATCTCTTTTTTCTCTCCACTGACAAGAAAAAAGCAGCAATACTCCAACCCCCTCCCAACCACAAAGCAGATAAGATTTAACCATTTGAAAAAGGCCTTGGTTCTAATGAACAGTGTCAGAGAGAGGGTCTGGATGTCATTTGGTAGGGATGCAAAATGAGATAAGTTTTAAGTTATGGGTCCTTTCATTAGGTGGGATTTACCAGCCAACTGAGGGAGGAATTAAAGGCTAAGGAACCATCTGATTATAAGCATGCCTGATCACCTGCCCGAAGGCCTGGCCTTGCCTTCAGAGGACCCTGTTCTCCAGGGTTTCCTGAGGGAATTAGCTCTGACTGAGTCCAAACTGTGAATACTGCTGGGCTATGGGCGCCATGTAGCCCTGACCCTTCCTCCTATCCACGTAGAAGTCAGCGGTGGGGGAACGCCTCTTTAAAATGGAAAAAAAACACAATTTCTTGATATGCCTAGAGGACCTCGAACAATTCACCAGATCTGATTTTCAATTGTTCGTCGGTGATGTTGCCTGTCTGCGTCTGGTCTCTGAGCCATCACAGAGCCTGGCCAGCCACCGCAGGGTAAGGGGCGCTTATTGGAAAATCAATGGCGTGAATGCTAAGCAAGTTACAGGAAGATGTGGGAAGGAAGGGTTCTTATTGATAAAGCAGGGGAAGGCTTTTGATGTTGCACTAGGGACATGCTCATTGATGGGGGAACCATTGTAGTCCTCAGGCGGAGTGAGGCCTGGGTTTATCTCCTAGGTTTGTTCTAATTAATCACCAATAAAGGCATGCATGCATTGCAGTCTTTAACATAAGTCCACTTTAATGCCTGACATGACTTAGGAATTCTAGCTTCAACGCTGTGCCCTTACAGTGAGGGAGTTATATTTCCAACTGCACTGCAACTGTCTTCTTCTGCCTTTCTATACTGTCTGCTCCTTTCCAGAACCATCTCCAACTAATATAAAACCTGACACTCTGCTGTGGTACCACCAGGCTAGACGTGAGTGTGCAAGTATGGACCTAAACTGGCAGACTGCTGTCACAGCCTGATTTATTGCACAGAAACAAGAACACACAAACGTATAACAATATAAATAGTAAACTTTTCCTGTCATGAAATATACTAATAAGCCATTTTTCCTTATAAATAATAAGCAGTGCAAATAACTCAAGTAGTCTGAGGGGGGGGAAGTGCCTATCATCTTTCAGTGTCCAACATTACTGTCACTGTGTCACTTAGCCTCAGAGCTGTGAGCCAAGAAAGTTTGTCAACCACTGCTACACACAGTAAACCATTATAATTGTGTAAGGTACATAGAGTTCCAGTTCTTGATGATTCCCAACACTGCAACTCAGACAATTAACCATGTAGAACACCAGTGTTTATTGTGTGCTGTAAATATTCAGTCCACCGTCCTACTAATGCAGACATAAGGGTGCTTCACTATTGCTCCGACTGCAGGAGGCAAAAAGTCACCTCAGGTCGATGGCACTCAGCCTGTAAACAGGGCTTCCCGTAAAATCAATGATCTTCAGTAGGAGCTATCAGTCTGTGGAACAGAAATAGCCATGGCTGTGTTGCGTCTAAGGCAGGGACGTACAGTGCTGTGTGTGTTCGCTTGAGTGTGTGTGTGTGCGAGTCGAGGAGGCTGATCACTGGCATGTCTGGGAGTATTTCTCAAAGATAGCAGAAGTGAAGTGTGCAGCTTTGTCACGCATGCAGCAAGGTGATGAAAAGAGAAGACCACAGCTTACAGATGTCATAAATACACTTTTTAACGTGTGCTTTATGCGTCAAACTAAAGCAAACGCATAACTTACAGCTAAAATAATCCTTGCTGATTATAATATGAGAAAACTCAAATACCCAGGAGGCAACATGCTGATTGTTTTAGCTTCACAGCACTCAATTTTAGTAAGCATTTTGCACTGGCAATACTGGCCAGAGAAGGCAAAATTGATTTGTTTGTAGTATCAATTGCCTCCTTTGTTAATAGACCTGAAATAGAACCTTGAAA